TTGGGGAAGATTAAACCATGCATCGAGGTCAGTCAATATGATGCGAAGTCAACACGAGTGGTCGTTAAATACGCTCAATATTCATTTATGCAAAATGGTGACGCGTAATGGGATCCAGGAATCATCACGCTTACGTAAACTCTCTTCAGCAAGGTTTGCTCGTCTGCCAAGGTTCTCCTAAATATTCTGTCGGTGCCAGAGGGGTTTGAATCGTTAGTAAAACAGTCATGCAAATTGCTTGCTTGAATTTTTAAAATAAGATTAAAATTGCAAAATTAGCAAAATTATTTTCAACGATTTCTAAAACATCTGCAAGACGTGTCTAAAATTTATGACAAGCTCAACTTCATTTTAACCGATGACAGGCAGCCCAGAAATTTTCCTTTTCTTTATAATGTGAACTAGTTGTAAAGTATAAATTGTTTAGGTACGCTTAGAAGCAGTGGTATCTCTTACCACCTAATTTTTATTCAATCTATTCCATTCCATTTATGACCACAGACGCCGATATCTATACGGATAGCTACCAGAAGTTTGGTGAACTTTACCGATAACAGAACCAACCACGCGGTGAACTCAGCTAGAAAATGCGCAATTGAAACACCAATCAATAGTAAGATCTGAGCGATAGCTTGAGTGGCAGCAAAATCTAAGCCTGGGACATAAGAAGCGATGACACTAATAATCCTGCCCATCAGTTCATATGAAGCCTATCCAAATAAACTCAACTGTAATCGGCTCGACCGAAATTCAAGGGGCAATATCAATTTAACCCTTCCACTTCAAAGTGAGCACACATTCTCAACTATTTTGAAACCTGTCAGCGTTTCGGACGAACGACGAAAGCTCTGTAGGATTGAGCTCACTCCCTTTGGCGACATTGCAAACACCATCCGCAGCTCATTTTGTGGTGCACCTCCCGAGAGTATAGACGGAGAACGACAAACAGAGGGACGGACTAGGAATGGAGAGCAAACAGATCGCGGAGAGAGAGAGAGAGAAAGAGAGAGAGAGAGAGAGAGAGAGAGAGAGAGAGAGAGAGAGAGAGAGAGAGAGAGGAAGAGAGAGAGAGAGAGAGAGATAGAGAGAGAGAGAGAGAGAGAGAGAGAGAGAGAGAGAGAGAGAGAGAGAGAGAGAGAGAGAGAGAGAGAGAGAGAGAGAGAGAGAGAGAGAGAGAGAGAGAGAGAGAGAGAGAGAGAGAGAGAGAGAGAGAGAGAGAGAGAGAGAGAGAGAGAGAGAGAGAGAGAGAGGCTGATTGCGCTGGCGGATGAGAAAATGTTCCGTCGTCAGTGCGTGGAGACGAGGACGGACGACTTTCAGCCATGCTGTCCTCCAGTCTCTTTCTTCCGATGCCGGCTCCGTTTTATCAGTCTCCGGACAAGGAGGGTGGGTCGATTGTGCTCACGTGTCGACGGCTAGGTGCTCTGTTTAGGATGGTAAGCGTCTCGAAAAAGTTATAGAGCCGAGCTCTTTCGAAGAGATCCTCACTGTATTGCACTGTTTATTTACGTTTTCTTTCAAGCTGCAAATGCTGAGATAATTAGGTGATAAATATCCCTACATAGACATTACATGCAAGAAAATCTTAAACAAGCAAACAGAGCACTGAAGAGCAAATTTAACTCACAAAAAGTAATCAAAGCGTTGCATGTAACATTTATTACAATGCCGGATTTGACCCATTAAAAGCACAGTGGTCAGTGGAAGAGCGAATAGATGCCTTTCCTTATATCGCGTCTTTTAAAAAAAGTGTCAATCGATTCCTGTTCATTTGAATAGTCCGTTCAATGACGCCTGGATTGCCTACCCTGAGAATCATCACGAGGTATGCAGGGGAGGGGTACTTACATCTTATGTACATTGAACTTGAGACCTCAGATGCATCTACACAAGCAATAAGCATAAAAATTCAACAATTCAAGTAAGTTCCATAAACATTAAAAACATATCATCTTAGTTCTTTATTTCTTCCCTAGACAAACATAAACCTACCTCCACTCATAGACCACTATATACCGACCACTATATAGACCACTATCGAGGTATATATGTGGTCTATGCTCCACTTCATTGCGGGACGTCGGTCTTTTCTTATCAAGTCCTATTAGGAACTTCTCCGATAACGTTTAATTAAACCAACTTGGTTCACATGACCGGGAAAGTCAGGTTCATTCACTGACGTCGCATGGCTTGCAGGGTGACCACAGGTTCTGACCACAGACAATCTCCGCTAGAAGCAAACAGCGGGAAACTAAGCGGCTCGAAGTTCGGACCAGGCTCGCTACCATTAGTGCCATTGATTGGCTTGCTGGCCAAGTGCACTTCTGAACACACTTCTACCTAATGCAATGCGACATTTGTGCCACATGCGACATTTTATCGTGGTAGGGAATGAAACACAAAGTTACAAAGTTTGAAGGCGATTCACCGAAAAAAGGATAGCAGGTGTTCAAACAGACACAAAAGTTTAGCTTAATTGACACCTTTGCATTCACAAAGGAGCTTTCAAAACAAAATTAGTTTACCAATATTGCATCCAGCTGAAACATCTTTTGTAAATTACTCAACCATATATGCTGCAAAGTTTAACCCTCGCCCGCACATGCCATTTTCCCATCCTAGAACGCACATGGGGGGGGGGGGGGGGGTTGCCACCCCCCCGTGCCATTTCGTTCCTGTTGGAGATAGAGCTTAGCGGTAAAGACCAAAAAGATTCTTTGGGAAGAGACGAATCCAATGATACCCAGTTTTACCTTCTCAGGTCAGTCATTGACCTTCCAGGTCAGGTCAAACTAAAAAATATTGCTGTTTTGGGTCACCGTTGGATATCAAGTGCGCTGCTTATCATATACCAATGACGATGCCGTTTTCTGGTGCCAAGCCAGCTAGAACCTCTTTGTCACACTACCCGACCAGGTTTTTGCTGCTGAGGTCATTTCAGGTCAAGTTAGGTCAAGGTCAATTATATATATGTGTTTGTATGTCTGTGTGTGTCTGTGTGTATACTGATGTGTGCACCGATTGTTTATGTGTCCATATTACATGAAATCATGATCTGATAATCATGAGCTTTTACCAAAAATGCAGTCAAAAAAATTCACAAAAAGTAAATTCCGCTTGCCTAAAACGCAATTATCTTAGATGACCTAGGTTGACCTTGACCTTGACCTTGACATCTGTACATCGTCGAACAACATGTTCCATGATAGGTGGGAGGTAAGACTGGTAAAAAAGGCCGAAATCAAGGTGTCAAAAGCTCACAAGACCCATAGCCAACGCAAGATGTTGAGAATTGGCCATTTGGGTCATGACATGACCTGAGAAACAAGGTCATATCTCCGAAACCAAAAACCACAGAAACTTGAAATTTTCAGGGGACATCAAGAAAGGATAGAGGAGCAGCTATACGAAAAATCAGCCTTCTAGCTCTAAAAATGTTGAGTGCAGAGAAGAAAGACTACCTGGGGGGGGTGGTGGTGGCAACCACCCCCCCCCCCCCCATGTGCGGGCGAGGGTTAATGTCTTCCATAAAATCACTGTCATTTAAACATGTTCAATTCTACACATATTTGGTAACGCATTTGGCTTCCAGTCGAACTTTGCCAGAATGTAAACTTTAGTCGCTACTGCCACGGGAAGTTAGCCATGCGTACCTACCGCGCTTGTTTGATGTCACCAACAAACTTCCGTCAGAAGTCGATGAATTGCTAAACTCCCTCTGCACCCGTGCACCAATATTTCATATTTCATTCACAGGTTTCAGCTGAGACCGGAACTCTTTGATGGCAGGAAATAACAAACAGGTGATCAAACACTGCGGTAGAGCCGATCAAACTACAAAATAAACGTTTCACGTCACTACCGTGTGGCTGACACTGGGGCGACGGGGGCGACCACGTCGTGTCGCCACTCGTCAGTGGCACCGGCCAACAAATGAGTCGAGCCACATCAAACCTGACCGTGTGTCGATGGCTTCCATTTGGACCCTGATGTCATCAGTCCCAGGAAACAGCATCACCGTCGAGCCAGGATTATCACTTCGCTCTGGGTCGGGACCGGCTGGGTCGGGTCAGACCGCACGGGGGGGGGGGAGGTTGCGGCGGGGGTCGAGAGGAGAGGAGAGGGGGCTCGGTCTCAACTGTCGCCAAGACATGGCAGGACGACCTGCTCGGTTGCAGTGCCTGTACGATGCACGGTTGCCAAGACACACAGATGTCGTCACGGCTGCTACACGCCGGAGATCGAGACGCTAATGATCTGTGAGGTCGCGGAACCCGCACACTGCACAGTCAGTGGAGCCTGGCTGAAACCAGCCAGGGGCAGCGCAAGATGCTGCTGACCTTCATATAAAATTGGTAAGGCTGTTCATCGTGCCAACTGTTTTACAGACGACCACAACGAAAGAAGACAATAGCAAACCATACAGCTAACATGCGACCAAATCGCTTATGTGTCCAAGCAATTGCTGGCTGACTTATGCATAGGTACCTACTTATTCCCGGAAATGCGGGCTAGATTCATTTAAAATGAAGATATGACCTTTGAAACTTTAATTTCATGGTATTTACCTATAACCTAATGATGCAGGGGTCTCTTTGCATTGGATTAGGAAGAGGGCTAGTTGCGTTTTAGAGCAGCCTGCTTCCAAGATTGCTAGCCAACGTATAAATACATGGATATATGATTACCGGTACGTCGCGCCCACATAGGACATAGCACATGCCTACTCCATAGCATTAGAAGCATGTCTTTATAGCATGCTATAAAACGATATGTCTCCCAGACGCTAAGGCTAAGACCGTAAGTCCGGCTCAAAATTCACTTTCAGGCTAAAACTTGGACTATCTTAACCTAACTAAGCTCAAGGTGCAAAGGGTAAGTACAGAAGCCAAAATGAGTGTCATTTACGATAGCATGCAGTACAAGGCAAAGCTCTCGCAGGGTTTTCGACACAAGGTTGTCACTGTCACAAGGCTCTCAACACAAGGCTTTCATCTCACCTGTTGAACGCTATTCCTGCCAGTGACATCCAGTCGGCAGCAGCGTTGGTATACCGCAGTAGCCCGGCAGCCTGGCAGCCGGCCGTCGAGTTCATCCACACCTCCGGGCTCGTGTACTGCGAGTAGTAGAGCGGCAGGTTGACCAGGCAGTAGAGCAGGTCGGCCACGGCCAGGTTCAGGATGAACACGGTGGCCGTGCTGAAGCGCAGCCGCTTGACCTCTAGCGGCGCGCGGCAGCAGCGGCTGGCGTACGGCACGGCGCACAGCGTCAGAAGGTTGCCGGCGCCGCCGAGCACGGCTACCGTGCAGCAGACCACCCTAACCATATCGGTCGCCCAATGTTTGAGGTCTTCTTCAGTGGCGCAGGCACTGTTTGCTGTGGCGTTTTGAAGTCGGACGAGCGCGCCTAAAGGCGGAGAAAGATCGAATGGCTCTGCCAGCATGGTGTGGGCTTGTGGGTTACTGAGGCAGTCCCATGACCAGTCAAAGGTCAATGAATCACTTTTCGATCATCCACAAGTCACTGAGTCACGTCGGTCCTAACCGGTCACCTGTCAGCGGGTCACTTCCTGACCTCTTACAGGTCACTGGGTCACTCCCTGACCTCTTACTGGTCACTGGGTCACTCCCTGACCTCTTGCAGGTCACTGGGTCACTCCCTGACCTCTTACAGGTCACTGGGTCGCTCCCTGACCGGTCACCAGTCAGCAGCAGTCACTGGGATTGACTCGACAATCCGTTCAGACTAGGTGCGACACTCTTCCGGTCTGTGATTCACCTGTGACCTCTGCGCTGCCTCAGGTCACACTCCTCGTGCCACAGGTCAGTCAGCCAGCGTGTCCGCCGCTCTCCGCTGTCGGTCCGACTGTCCCCACTCGCGGCTCTGGGCGGCAGCTGGCCACGAGCCCGGCGCTGGGGAGCGGCCGTCGGCCCGCACGACTGCCACGAGGAGCCGGCCTCTACTGAGTCGCCGACGGGCCGCGCACCGCCGCCGCCGCCGCCGCCGCCGCCAACGACATTACAGTACCTGCGCCGTGCGCCCCACGGCTACGGGAGCTGGGCAGCTGTCCGAAACCCGTCTTGATGCTGCTAGGAAACACACACGCAGGATACACATTACACAGCCACACACGCACACACGATATCATGTTTGCACGGAGGCACGTTTGCAAGGGCGCACCTCGCACGCGACAGCCGCGCTAGATCCACTGAAGGAACAGACAGCAGCTCTGACAAAAAATATGTAGGAGTAATGAATGATAGGGGAGAGTGGGGAAAGATGCCCAGGGTTTTGCTATGTCATATATTATTCGAAAATGACGATGTGAAAGCAAAAACTTGGAGTTTCAACGGAAGCCGACATTATTTTTCTCCAAAAATATGACACTTTCGTGCTTGAAATATTATAACTTTTTTTGCTATTAAGCATTTTCCTGAAGAAGTGAAAGGCGGCATCTTACCCCACAGGGTGGGAAAGACGCCCCCTGACGTTGGGAAAGATGCCCCCTGCACTATAAGTGACATAAATTGGCACGTAAATCGCCTGAACGAATCAGTAGTCCCTTCGAGCCTGCAGTAGACACCAAACGTCATCATAAGGGCCATCAAAAGTAGTCGTAAGGGGCTTCAGAGGTCATCGTTAGGGCCATCATAGTCCAGCGCAACCAAACAAGCCTCCGTGGTGGCGTTCGGAGACCACTGTGGGGCTCTTATAGGTCTTCATGATGCTTGAGGGCCCTCGAGCCCATCGTGGGGACCTCCGATGCCAGCGCGGCCCGTGGGGCCAACGTGGGAGCCCTCAAAGGATGTCGTGAGGGGCCCTGGAGCCAATAATGGGGCCCACAGAGCCGCCGTCGTGAGGGCTCTCAGAGTCAGATGCCGCCCAAAAAGTCGCTATGTGGGCCTAGAGACCGGCATGGGGAGCACCCGACCGTACTGGACTCTCAATAGTCCCAGATCGGCTTTTGTCTACATCACAAGTATGTAATAAATGATTTGACGGGCTGTTTGAAGGACAGCCTACGGATTTAGGGGGGCGTCTTTCCCCATCAGGACAGGGGGCATCTTACCCCAAGGTACCGAAGTAACATTAAATCAGTACAATTTGTTAGCCATAAAACTACACCCTGAAACAAACTGTTTGGGACACAGTACACGCATGCTAATGTATCACGACTATAGCAAGGGACGCAAAAATTATTTACCTTCTTTGATATTTACAATGTTCTGACACCAAAATATTTTTTGAAAGCAGCAAATAAAAAACATGCAATCATCAGCCAGCCGTTGCCCAACTGAGCTTCGCAATTTTTTGTGCAGTTAACAAGGCAGGTTTCCGCTTTACGCTAAGAACATTAATTTCCAGGTCCGATTCTTTGTTCCGCCGCTAGAGGGGGTGGGGCGTCTTTCCCACCCTGGGCATCTTACCCCACTCTCCCCTACTGTAGGTATACATTTCATGACATTGTTGTTATAGAGGCATCAGTCGTGACTGTACGATAGGTAAAACATCCAGTGACGAGGATTCGTCCATCTTACTCTGCTTCTGGGTCCGTGGGCATTATATGCATTATTGTAATGCATGTGAGAGCCCTTCGAAAAACATCGGCAGCCGACGATTTTTCTGTTGGTAAAACCAGGGCTGCGGAGTCGGAGTGCGAGTCGGAATCGAAGTCTGTCGAAATCGACAGTTTTGCCCGGAGTCGGAGTCAGAGTTGCAAATCTTACCGACTCCAACTCCGAGGTTGCAGACAATAATGCATAGCTCAAAGTCATGCCCTACTTCTGTTCGGTTGAAAATATTACGCTCTTTGATCTTTGCAAACCAGATTTTGTCGAAGCTAGGGCAATGCTTCTGTATTGAACGAGCATTTTCAGCAATAAAGCAGAAGGCAACGGCTGCAACAGAGCCTGCTTGTAGTTCAGCATGTTATTAAAAAAATGTATTTGCAATATAAGGTCTGGGAACACGCAAATAATTGTTTCAGTCATGATAAAAATACCTCCGACATTAATTTAACTATCATCAAATACAATTTTGAGTAAATATCCTGAGTCGGAGCTGGAGTCGGAGTCGGAGTCGGAGACGATTAATAAAGCTGAGCCGGAGTTGGAGTCAGCAAAAAATCCGTCGACTCTGCAGCCCTGGGTAAAACTGACCTCAGGTGAAAAATGTCACCAAAGGTCAGCAAGGGACAACTATTTCCAATTTTGGCACCCTTGACAAATTTGTTCATTTACTACCACGAAGCAGAACTGACTGCTGCCCTTTTTTACAATGCATTCCTTAGTCACATTTAACCTTCCAGGCGGGGGGGGGGGCATTTTTTTGCCCCCCCCCCCTTAGTTTTTTTATATCTCGAGAACCGCTGCGCCGATCGTCACCAAACTTTCAGTACCCTCCCGGGAGTAGCTAGCGCACATGGTGACCAAATTTTTTTCCAAAGGCTATGATAGGTTGGCCGCTAATGACGTCAGAGTGACGTCAATTCTGCCATTTTCGACCCAAAAAAAGGTTTCGCGGGAAGAGCTGTCAGGCCTACAGCTTTAGAGATACAGAAAAAAACGTTTCATATATAAAAGGTGTGGAATTAAGACGACTACAAAACTGCTATTTCGGTTTTTTCGATTTTTTTGGATTTTGACCCCCAAAAATCAAAAATAGATTTTTTGAATATAATAGCGAAAAATCCAAGTCTTTTGAATTTCGAAGAAAACCGTAATATATGTGATAGTCCCTACCGCCTTCTATCTACATACCAAATTTGAGATCGATACCTCTTTTTTGGCCAAGTTATAGCGAAAAAACTGTTCAAAATTGATGACGTCAAATTTTCAAACTCAATTTGTAGCAATTCTAGAACTCGTAGCGCAAAACAAAGACCACCATTAGACTCCCCGTGACGAGCTGCATCGAATCAATACCCATTTGATTCAAAAATATCAACTTTGAAATTTGACCCTTTTGACTTGACCTTGACCTGACCTCCACCAGAAAGTGACCTAAACCGTACCTGATGGTCTTATAACCAACACCATTGAGTTGGAAATGAAAAACTGGCCATAAAACATGCATCGCACAACCTTAGTAAAGTTGGGTTCATGTGGTGACCCTTGGTGACCTTTGGTGACCTGACCTGTGACCTGACCTGGTATGACCAGTGACCTCTAATAGCAACTGTACTAGACAACTGACGCCCTATCGCTGATTTTCGACAAAATACGTTTTTACAGCGCTTTCCCTAGAAGCCTCGTGAACGGTGAAACATTTTATCTTTGACCTGACCTGTGAAGTCATCGGTGACCCCGAGGTCAATGAAATTTGGTTTCCCTAAACAAATTTGACAGGGCTATCGAAGCCGTTTGAATTTTCCGGATCTGTCCAGTAGTTTCGGAGATACGGGGGGGGGGGGGGGAATCCGCGCGGAAGGTGGCCGGGAGGCCCACCGCCTGCCGGGTTAACATACTATGGGGATAACGATTTCCAAATGAGCGTTTTTGCAACGTCTTCTGCTCAGTTACTTCAATGGTAATTACACACGTGTCCAGTAGCAGCAGTGGGTTCAGTGGTGTCACGAGGCCGTCTGTTCATGGGGACGAGACCCTCTGTCCAGTGTCCAGTAAGTTCGATGGCGATAAGATCCTCCGTCCAATGTTTCCATTGATAATGAGGTACACTGTCCAATGATTTCATTGGTGATGAGACCTTCTGTCTAACTCTGAAGTGTCCATTTGGTCTACATTAACCCGCGCCCCGTTGGGCTCTGCCGAGCAACGCGCCCCGTTGGGGGGGGGGGACATTTTGCCCCCCCCCCCCCTAAGATCTCGAGAACCACGCAACCTAGCGACAAGCAGCAAACGGTGTTGGATAGCTCTATCAGGAAACTACCTTGTGACCCAATTTTGTTGACCTAGGTCAAACCGATGACGTCACAGGTCAGGTCAAAGGTCGAATTTTCACCGTTTACAGGCATTTCAAGAAATGCGTTGTAAAATCGAGTAAAATGCATTTCATTGGAAATCATCGATGGGGAAATGTTCTTCAAACACATATTTTGCTATTTGAGGTCACTGATACCAGGTCAGGTCACAGCGAGGTCAGGTCACTGGGGGGTCACAATATGAAAGTGTCGTGTGATACATGTTTTATGGTCCATTTTGCATGACAAATGCGATTATGTGGGTCAGGCAGACTTTTGGGCCGGCTTAGGTCACGTTTTGGTCAAGGTCAGGTCAAGGTCATGTCAAGGTCAGGTCAAGGTCAGGTCAAGGTTAGGTCAAATTAGGTCAAATTTCAAAGTTGATATTTTTGCATAAAATGGGTATTGATTCGATGCAGCTCGTCACGGGGAGTTCAATGGTGGTCTTTGTTTTGCCATGCGTGGTCCAGAATCGAGTTAAAAAATTGAGTTCAAATATTTGACGTCATCATTTTTGAACAGTTTTTTTTTCGCTATAACTTGGCCAAAAAAAAAGAGATATCGATTGAACTTTGGTATGTACCTATATAGAAGAGCACAGGGACTATCATATATATTCCGTTTTTTTCGAAATTCGGAATTGTTTTTGGATTTTTTTTTTAGTTAAAATCAATTTTTTGAATTTTTGGGCGTCAAAAAAAAACAAAATTTTGAAAATCCGAGATAGCAGTTTTGTAGCGCCGCTTTCTGTCTGCTAGACCATATAAAGAACTTTGAAATTGCTTGGTAACTATAAATTTGGTGAGCGTTTCAAGATTGCATGTTTTTTGCTCATTTTTGCTCGAGCATGACCTCAGTTTGACCTCAATAACTCCTGACCTAAGGTGACCTAAGACTTGAAATTCGGTGTGAAGATGTCAAATTGATGCCCGGGAAGGTACTGAAAATTTGGCGGCGCTGCGCGCCGCCGTTATCTTCCTATTCAGGAAAAACCACAGGGGGAGGGGGCAAATTGCCCCCCCCCCCCAACGGGGCGAGGGTGATGAGATACTCTGATTCCATTGGTGATGACTGATGAGACACTCTGTTGATGTTGTATCAGTCCACTTGAGTCTGGCGATGATGCACTCCGTCGAGTGAGTGATAATTGGGTCTAGTGACGAGGCCGATATTCAATGAGCTCACTGCAGTATCTGGTGACGGCGGCTGTCTGTTCATCGAGCCCAACAGGTGATGACTCATTTCGCACCTCATACGCTCATTGTTCACTGTTCACTCACTGTTCAGTAGTGAGCTTTAGGCACTTCTCGCAGCAGGCAGCGCCCCCTAGTCAGCTGATCCAACACCGGTAGCGTCGTCTGGTGAAAAGACCAGACACTGCACCAGGGACTGTATTCACCATTCACGTCGACCTCGTAAGTTGATTTTCTTTCGCAAATATAATTTGGTATTCAAGTCGACACTTCTTAAATTTTTATCAACGGAGTTCACGTGTTTTAACCCTCGCCGGCACAGGCCATTTTGCGTCCTTCGACGGCACAAGGGGAGGAGGGGGGGGGGGGGGGGGGGTACGACCCCCTTCGCGTTTGGCCACTGATCGAGCTAGAGCTTCGCGAAAAAAAAAAACGAGCGTGTTGCCCGTCACGAGAGGAAGCCGATGATACCCAATTTTAAGGTCCTAGGTCATCGGGTGACCTTCCAGGTCAGGTCAATGACCCGAAAACCGGGAAAATCGGGACCTGTTAGAAAGTCGTAGAGTGTGGCTGCTATGTGGTTTTCCGGGGTGCTGATCACGAATATCGTGTTAGTTTTGATCAGAGATGATGTCTTTAAGCATTTAGACCAGGTCTGGTCAGGTCAGGTCAGGTCAACCGGTATGGGTTGTGACGGGTATTCTTAATACGTGTCAACCGCCTCTGACAGCTTCGTAACATGTTACGAAGGCACCAAAACTACTTCGTAAATGTTCAAACGGTTGCTAAATTCGAATTCAGCTCCAACAACTAGCCTAGTAACATGTAAAACTCGAAAAAGTGAACCGAGGTCACCCGAGGTCACCAAAGGTCAATGACCTGACCTGACCTTCAGGTGACCTTGACACCCACCCTTATGTATGGGAGCAACATCAAATCACATGTTTGAACGTTTGAAACCACGAAAAGCTTGCAAACGCGCGGCTAATGCGAGCCGACATACGCCGAATGGCGATTCCGGCCAAACATGGTCTCGGAAAAGAGGTCACAGGTCAAAGGTCATTTGGGTGATGGTCATGAAATTTTCAGGGTAGGTGTAAAATTAATCAATGCGAGGGCACTGAAAGTTTCGTTGCGATCGGCCGCTTTTTACGCGAGTTATTCCGAAAAACCTTAGGGGAGGAGTTGCATTACCCCCCCTGTGCCGGCGAGGGCTAAAAAAAAAACATTGAGAAGTAGATCATGCGTAAGAAAATTCTTACGAAAATGACTGACGTGAATGCGGCCCCAGGGCTCTGTTTTACCGTATGACACTACTGAGCGCTGCCGATTTTGGCGCTCGGTTTTTATGGAACTGTAAGCAACCAATGGCAATCCTGCCTACATTTCTATGGAAACCGAGCACCAATACCTGGCATCGTCGGGCAGCGTTAAACAGGGCATCGTGAGTGCATCCAGTGCATCTGATCAGGCAGTTTGGTTCCGATCCCCGGCGTCCTCTGGTGACAAAATGCAATCGGTGGCGCCCTCTGCCTGGCTAGGTAGGGCTGCACAATGCACAATGCACAATGCACATTGCACGAGAAAGGCTCGGAGAAGGAGTAAGAAACAATAGACTATCGTCAATTCACAGACTAAATGTGAGAAAATATTCAAGTGTATTGAATATGCTCACCTTCCGAGTCCATAAATAGATCTAGCTTTCGTCTTGAGAGAGAGAGAGAGAGGAGAGAGAGAGAGGAGAGAGAGAGAGAGAGAGAGAGAGGAAGAGAGCTAGAGAGCAAAAGAAAGAGCGATGAAGAGAGAGAGAGAGAAAGAGAGAGAGAGAGAAAGAGAGAGAGAGAAAGAGAGAGCGAGATAGAGAGAGAGAGAGAGAGAGAGAGAGAGAGGGAGAAAGATATAGAGAGAGCGAGAGAGGGAGAGAGTGAAAGAGATAAGAGAGAGAGAGAGAGAGAGAGAGAGAGAGAGAGAGAGAGAGAGAGAGAGAGAGAGAGAGAGAGAGAGAGAGAGAGGAAGAGAGAGAGAGAGAGGGAGAGAGGGAAAGAGAGAGAGTGAGGGAGAGAGAGGATAGAGAAGAAGAGAGGAGAGTTAAAAGGTTTTTTTTTCATGTTATTCAAACATCTCCTAACATTCGCCCGGGTAGGGGTGGAGGTGGTGGTGGGGTGGGGATTGTGGCTATGGTGGGAAAGCATAACGACCATGGCGGGGTTGACTGAGACACTTAACACGTTTCCATGGGCAGTCGGTTAACCCGCGCGGGGCTGGGGTCCCCAGCCGAACGCGCGGGGCTGGGGGGGGGGGGGGGGTAAATTTTACCCCCCCCTGTTATCTCCCGAACTAATGGTCCGATATGGAAAATTCAAACGCCAATCGAAAGCTCTCATCACGAACTACTAAAAACATGTACTTAATTTAAAGTTTGAGGTCAAGGTCAAGGTCAGGTCAAGGGTACAAATTGCAAGTTTCTACAGTATCGGCCTTGCACCGTAGTTGCCGAAGGATGGAGTCATGGACTGAGACTGATCGCCCAAAACGTGTTCTTAGGCTACCAAGACAATATTAATTGCATACAATATCATTCAGAGGTCAAGGTCAAGGTCAGGTCAGGTCAGGTCAGGTCACCAAAAAACAAAATATAGAAAAGGGCATGTGCGACACATGTTTTATGGGTCATTTTACTCATAGAATTCAATAGGCACACTCAATAAGTGATATGGACCACCTCTGGATGAATTTCAGGTCGAGGTCAGGTCAAGGTCAGGTCAAGTGAGGTCAAATTTTGAAGTTGGTTGTTAAGGCCTAAAAGGTGTCTATCTGATGCAGTTTTTCACGGCGAATCGAATGGTGCTATTTTTGTTTCCGTACGAGGTCTAGAACTTCCAAAAAAGTCATTTTTCAAAAATTTTGTGTGTCGTGACGTCATAAAATTTTGAATAACTCACACATTTTTGAACCGATTCTTCTAAAATTTGGTATGTAGGTGCACATAGACCACTTCTCTGACATATATTCCGGTTTTTTCGATAGACTCAAAATTTTGGATTTTATAATAATTTTCCCAAAAAAATCAGTTTTTTGAAAAAATTTAGGCCAAAATCCAAAATTTTCAAAAAACCGAGATAGCCATTTGATAGACAAAGTAAAATTACGTATAACCTTTTTTGTTACGTCTTGATTCCTTTAAAAATGAAGATGTTAGCGGCGTTTGAACTTTTGCCGTTTTTGAGGCGAAAATGGCGAACATGACGTCACTAAAACGTCAATTTCTCAAAAATTTTCCGACGGATTTCGCTCACATTTTCAGGGAAGGTGTCAAATTGATGTAAAAAAAGGTACTGAAAGTTTGGCGGCGCTGCGCGCCGCCGTTTTTGAGATATCGCAAAAATTCGCGAGGGGGGGTAAAATTTACCCCCCCAGCCCCGCGCGGGTTAAAGGTGCAAAAAGGCGCTATAGAAAAATACGATTTGTAAAAATCATTATTTGAAACTCATCCAGAAAACGTCTCGCCCTCATTGGTACCATATTCATATTCCAATGGCGGGCAATGGTCACAATGTAGGCCTCTGAGTTGTTGCTGACTTTGGGCATTTGTGGACCTTTTACACATGATCCACGAAAACCATTATGCCCCCGATCTAGCGTCTATTCGTCAGGTGTCACATTCCGCTAGAGGCTATAGCGATACACGCATTACGACGCTTCCCATCCCTCGCGAAATGTTGTTTTTCCACCATCCCAGCCTGAGTACATTTGGAGTGGTGCACGCTGGAGAAGTCCAGTCGATTGGGAAAATGTTTCCGACCGAGTGATTCTGATAAATGCTCGGCTCAGCGTTCACTTTGGGTCCACCTCTGGGCGAGGCATGCCGCTCGCTCACTCGAAGGCGCCTCCGCTCCAGCAATTTCGGTGCAATTCATTCTTGCGAGTGGACTCGGGAAACAGTCGAAACAGTGGATCGCTCAACAATTGAATTTCGCCTCACTGGAGCAGCTTTGGTACGGCAAGAAAATAAGATCAATTGCGCGCACGCTAATTGCTGCAACATTAAAAACACGATACAGTTTGCAAGAGCCAGATTCTGATCGCAATATCGGTGAGCAGACTTATATCCGGAAGGAACCTGTGTTACTACAGATATTGCTGACGACAGTCACTCTCAATTATAGATATTTTTTTACCGTTAACCAAATTCCCTGCTTTGTTCAGCTTCTTCGCAGTAACGTTGTGCGGACGTAATTGCGAAGTTCGTTCGCATTCATCGCACGCAATGGCCCGTTAGTGATTCTATTGAACAATCTTTTTACCACCTTGCAAAATACGATCGCTTTCCGTGAAATCATTTTCTCTATAGCTACTCAACGGACTGGCTTTGGTGAGCATGTTCGGATTGCGTACAACAGAATAACTCTTGTAAGCACTCGCGGAACATTATGCTATAAAAGTAGATACTACTCTGTATATCTTACCATTCCGAAGGGTCTATCACTTTCATTTCTCATTTCATATTTCGCAATGCCTTGATCTGGCTTTACGATATCACATCGCTAACAACAACAAACATCTGCCTGAAAACCAAATGCGCTATCTATCTACATATTCGGATGCATCGACATTCGAGAGACAGCGTGACTGTCTTTCACCTACTGCATACCGACCACAGTCGGTGGTATCGGTAATTGGTAATTTGCAGGCTGCGAGCGATGGCTGTCATCCAGCTGGCGATGCGACGGCGGCGGCGGCGGCGGTGCGCGGTCCGTCGGCGACTCAGTAGTGGCTGGCTCCTCGTGGCAGTCGTGCGGGCCGGCGGCCGCTCCCCAGCGCCGGGCTCGTGGCCAGCTGCCGCCCAGAGCCGCGAGTGGGGACAGTCGGACCGACAGCGGAGAGCGGCGGACACGCTGGCTGACTGACCTGTGACACGAGAGGTGTGACATGAGGCAGCGCAGAGGTCACAGGTGGCTTACAGACCTGTAGTTGTGACTGGTGACCGTTTATAGAGTGACTCAGTGACCTGAGACCTGTCAGGGCGTGACCCGGCGACTTTTGAGTGGTCGCGGGACGACTAAGTGACCTGAGGCTTGTCGTTGAGCAACCCAGTGACCTGTGACCGGTCGGGAAAGTGTCCACGAACCTGCGCACCACGAACCATGCTGGCTGAGTCAATCAACCCCTCCCCGCTCATCAGCGCGCTCGCCCGACTTCACAACACCACGGCGGAGCTAGCTCTCGACGACAATGACGACGGTGTGGACGCATGGGCGCGCGACATGGTCAAGGTCGTATGCTGTACTGTGGCCGTTCTCGGCGCCATCGGCAACCTTCTGACGCTGTGCGCCGTGCCGTACGCCAGCCGCTGCTGCCGCGCGCCGCTAGAGGTCAAGCGGCTGCGCTTCAGCACGGCCACCGTGTTCATCCTGAACCTGGCCGTGGCCGACCTGCTCTACTGCCTGGTCAACCTGCCGCTCTACTACTTGCAGTACTCGAGCCCGGAGGTGTGGATGAATTCGACGGTGATGTGCCAAGCCGCTGCGATCGTCCGTCACACGAACGCAGCTGCGGATTGGATGTCACTGGCAGGAATAGCGTTCAACAGGTGAGAGCGGAGCGGATAGTTCGGCCGGGATGGGGCTGAGCTGTTGCGTTGCTAACACTTTCTATAGTGGTGCTTGGATGTGCTTCAATGCTGGAGTGGTATTTATATACTGGAGCCTGAGGGATGGTTATCATTTTGCGTTTTGTCTTGCACTTACAAATTTGAACGATCTTATAATGCATATTTTATCGTTGATAGACATGACTGTTCAGTTGGTGAATGTTGATTTCGCTTCATTCTGCATTCTGACTGCTTTATTCATTACCAACGTTCTCTGTAAACTAGATCATGTTACGAAGTTTCACAACAGAAAGGACTCAGAAACAGACAAGAGTACCTGCAGCAGATCTGTTTTAACCAAACCGGCATCTGCTATGCATGAGGTCTCCTAGATTGATGATCCTGTGAGAAAAACAAACAGCTTTTGTGGGAGACAACACTATATATTAACACATGGTTTCCCGTGTGTAAATGGTTTTAACGCACGACGTGGATGGATTGGAGCACGAGTGTGTTAATGCACGAGTGAAACGAGTGCATTAACGCACAAGTGCTCCATTCCATCCACGAGTGCGTTAAAACCATTTATGCACGGAAACCATGTGTTAAACTAATTAATACATGCTTAACGGTGCGAATTAAAATTGAAATTAAACTTGGTCCATGACACTGAAAGGGCCTTTCATGGGAATTCTTACAATAAAGTCAATGACCCTTCCGAAAAACTTCAGTCGAGAAATTCATCACTGCACGCGCGTGCACCAATTTAAATTGGTGCACGGCTACCTTCGAATTAACGCACGGTTAATCTCCAGTGAACGCACCGTAAAGTATGTATTAATATGGATTGTTTGCACATTACATATATGCGAAATGTTGTTTGTCTTGTGTGTTCCTTATTCCAGAGCCTCATCCGTTTCAGCATGCTCCACTGTTCACCGGACGGTGAAAAAAAAACTGGATGTAGGTACATGTTTTGATGCAAACATAATAACGTACTTTTCTAGATATTTGATCAACATTTGGTGGAAACTAGCAAAAGATTGCGCACTTAGCCTGCTCTTTCTTAACATTATCTATCATATAACTGCCTAATCCTTTCGTTACCAACTAATTTATGGCGGAGCTGTCAGTGGGAATCGCTTTGGGATTTCATTTTGACCGGTATCAGCTTTGGTAACACGACACCCTGCCATGATGTTAGATTTCCCGCTTGGCAAGGCACACAACCATATCACCGCTCACTAGCCCCAAACCAAACATGACCCCGCACTGCCCCCTCCCATCCCCCCACACACACCTAATGCTATCGACGTGTTATTATGGATACTCATCTGCGTAGATGAAACCGGAGCTATTGTATCACTACATTATCACCAAATCAAAGCGGTTGATCAAATCTATGAAACATGGCAGATGGCAGTTGACATGTCTAAAACAGACGCTGGCATCCCCTCAGCATAACGTTGGCTCTCCGCTCCCTATTGCCACACGGGCCCGCCTGCAGATCAGACGATACTGACCCGCCGCACACCAGGCCACTGCGGTACAGTCTACCCTCCAGGTAAACTGCCGCACGCCACACATGGGGACGGGGAGGCGAATAGCGATTGGCGAGACGCGGTCTGGTGAGAGCTCGCAAGGAGGGCGTTCAAAGCCAACAGTTTCTGATATGGCTTTGCATTCTGAGAGGAACTTGGTTAGCTAAAGAAGTGTTTTTTTTTTTCAGTTTTGAAGAAGCAGAGGTCATGGGAGTCATAAAGAATGTTTTCAGGAACACACGTCCATTTTTTGGTTATTCTGCTCGTCTGTGTTAGTTATTATTTGACGCTACATTAACAAAAATGCAATGACAACGCTTAACCCTCGCACGACCAGGCCATTTCTCATAACACGAACGACCAGGGGGGGGGGGGTGTTACGACCCCCCCCTGGCGTTTCGAAACGGAAGGTCGTAGAGCTTAGCGGAAAAAACCAACGGATTGCTCTCAACGAGATCTCGCGATTGGTGGTATATTTTTTGGTCCTAGGTCAACATTTGACCTACTTATGACCGGTCAAAGGTCAAATTTTCCGAAAAATCAAACTTTTTCAACTTTCCGCGGCGATTGCGGCAAAACGGTGGGAGATATCGACTTGAAACCTTCACTATCGTGTTCCTTGATCAATTCTCTATCGTTTGGTATGTATTTCGTTTCCCTAGCTCTAAAAATGGCGCGTTGGGAGCGCCGGAAGTCGGCAAGGTCACAGTCGGCGGCAGAAATTCGAAAAATCAAAATTTAAATTTTTGAAATCTGATTGTATTTTTGGATTTGGGAGGTCCATTTGCTCCCTATAGAAGCTAATATTGCTGCATATTCCCATTGAGGTGACAAGAATTAGCAAAATAGTGGTTCGGGCGCTTTTCAAAAATAGTACCGGACGCTGTTCCTCTTGTGACGTCATAGCTCCGTGACCTGACCTGACCCGGTCAATTTTCTTGCACCACACGATAGCCAATGCTTGCCCCAACATGCATGGGAAGTTTCATCATGATCCATCAAACAATGTGGGTAGCACCGGCAGAAAACCTAGGGATTCGGCGCACACGTTTGGTAACTGTCGGCCGGAGGCTGTGCCTCTTATGACGTCATAACTCCGTGACCTGACATGACCCGATCAATTTTTTTTTTTCGGCAAAAGATGCGCAAAGGTTGCCCCAGAGGGTATTGAAAATTTCAGCCCGCTACGACAAGCCGTTTAGCGTGCACTTCGAAAAAACCTCAGGGGGGGGGGGTTGATACAACCCCCCCTAGGCGTTCTAGGGTTAATGTTCATGAATCCAGCCAGGACTCAAACCAATATGATCCTTGAGAACGGGAAAGTATGTACAATACATCGCTTTACTTGCAACTTCAACAACTTGGAGTCCGCACAGGTTTATTTTTAGACACCTGCACAGTGCGATGCACACAGGGATCTTTAACCTGTCAGGTCACGTCCGAAGCAAATAGCACAACCACCTGACCGGAATCGCCAAATCGGTTAAGCACCACTAAAGTCGGCTCCTTAACTGAACTGGAAGTCGGCCAGGAAAGTAAGAGAAGGTCAGCGTGTTCTCTTTCATAATCTCTCCCTCTTCTCTCTCTCTCTCGCTCTCTCTCTCTCTCTCTCTCTCTCTCTCTCTCTCTCTCTCTCTCTCTCTCTCTCTCTCTCTCACTCTCTCTCTCTCTCTCTCCCTCTCTCTCTCTCTCTCTCTCTCTCTTCCTTTCTCGCTCTCGCTCTATGATCTCTCTCACTTTCCTTTTCTTTTCTTTTTTCTCTTACTCGTTTACTGTTTCTCTCCACGCTATCCCTCTTTTCTCTGTTATCGTCTCTCTCTTTTTCCTTATCCCATTTTCTTTTTCTCTCTCTCCCTCACATTTCTCTCCCTCTCTCTCTCCGTCTCTCAATCCTCTGCTCACAAACCTCTTGGAACATAAACCATCGACCTTAGCACCCCGTCTCGGGCAAAATCAAATGCTTCCTCCTTCCCCTCATGCAAACCAACCCAAATATGATAACACATTGACACTTTTACTGAGCGTGAGCAATCGTGCAATGACTAAAATATTCGTTCATAGCTCAACACGACGGACACTGAATTGTAAAAATACTCAAAACTGGTATTCGCCTGAGAGAGTGGAATGCTGATGGAGTAGGCTGGTTCGCTTCTATTCCGGGCATCATATTGCATGCAATAACCGTGCATCGCATAATGTAATGGGTCACTTTATTTATACATTTCACTGCACTGATGACTGTATTCGCATATTTGTAGACTGAAGGCACTTTCAAACAGGTATATTCAAAATTGACTTAACCCTCGCCCTGGCAGGGGGGCGAAGGCTGATGAGACCCCCCCCCCCCCACCCGAGTTTTTTTGCGATGGGCGCCGTACCATTAGTCGGATCATGCTGAATTTATAGCCTATGGGGCATCCTTTGGGAAAATTTTGGTAAAAAAGCATTCTCGGGTCATGTCAGGTCACTGAGCCATGACGTCATTATAGATACAACCTCCGACCGTTTTTGACAAAATCGTACGTTCCGGTAACTGGACGTGATCTCATCGACAAGAACGAAACAATTCAGTGTGATTTATGTGAGATTTTGACAGGACATGAATCTTTCCATTGTAGATTGACCTTTCCAAGATCACCCTAGGTCAATGACCTCGCATGTTCACACGATGACCTTTGTGATATGAGCTGTGTTTAGCGGGGTTTCTTGAGGTCCTGAATCGGGATGTGTGGTTCAATTTTCACCTAATTGCCTTCAAAACTGTTCCTTGACCTTTTCAAGGTCAATCCAGGTCAATTAGGACCATCCTCACCGACGGCGGGTGTGACCTCCCACGTTCCCAGGGACTAAACGTCACTGAAAATTGAAATGCGGTCAACTATACCTCATTTTGATGCTAATTCGTTGAGAAAAATGGTCGTGGAAATTTCATGTCGCTATCGTTCATAGAATCGCCAATATTGGCTAAGGAACTTGGAAAATTATAGCTTTTCCCCGAAATTTGACCTTTGACCTGCCATAACTGGATCAAATATTGGCTTCTAGGGTCAACATATTTACGACCAATCGCGAGTACTCGTTGAGAGCAAATCAAATGGTGTTTGTTGCGAAGCGCTGCGACGCTTAGTTTTGAAACGCCGGGGGGGGGGGGGGTCGCATCTACATACCCCCTGCGAGGCCGCGTTATAAAAAAATGCCCTGCCAGGGCGAGGGTGAAAATGGGGCTAGGAGAAAAATGCAATGTTTTGAATAGCTCCATCAATATTCTAACATTTTCAAACAGGTCACACCGTATTTCTTAAAGCCCAGAATCATTGAAAATGACATCACAACATTGTTTTGCATCGTGTGCTGGTCACATTTGCTAAACCTTTTCCTTCTTCGACATTGCAGATGTGTTTGCCTACTCGACTTGAAATGGAAAGACCGGCTTTTTGGCGGCTGGAGAAGCTATGTCATAATCATGTTCATCTGGCTCTATGGATATCTAGCACAGGTGAGACTAACCCCCACTGGTGGTGAGTTAAACGTCGTTTCCTGGCCCCTTCACATTCCTATATTTGGTTGCACAGTGTTCAGCTCACGGTCTCGTAATCTGCCGGCTAGTGTTAACTCTGGCGGAATGGCTCTGATTAAGGTCACCTCTGGCCTTTTGGCCTTCTGGCCGCCGCAGATTTATGCCCGTTCGCTTCCCAGCGCACCAAAACGAACCCGATGACCTTTGTTGCGTCACCGCCGTAGCTCGTAGCAGAAGTTGTTCATCGTCTGGGGTGGTAGCTGATATTAAACGAGATTTTCGAGACACTAACTGGACGGATAAAAGATGCTACCATTTTGTCCAACTGTAGTACTGCTAGGTTTATTTTAGTGGGTCACTTGGGTATACTTATGCTGGGCTGAATGCTGCGACATGATTTCTAATTTGACCTTATCCACGAAGAAGATAGTTGCGGCAATACTGCGTTGTATTTAAGATTTAACTAAGCCTTAAAGGGACCCTCCCACCTTAACATTAGTTTTGAGTTGAGATAGCCAAGTTTGCGGCCAGGCTCAGAAACCATCATTTATCCTGGTCGCAACCCCCGCAGCTTTATGGTGTTCAAGAAATTTCTTCCCTTTACTTGCAGGGTGGGACCAGCGTGGTCCCTATCTCTTAACCATTACGGGAATCTGATGACGTCATCAGGCTTTCGAACGTCCGTTAAATGTTTGACTAAAACGTTTTGTAGCACGCGGTGGTATACGCTGCTTTGCGCGCAACAAATGCCGCACTTTCAAATAAAGTCGCTAGGAACAGCGGAGATCCCAAAAAGTAAACAAAAGTAAAAGTCTAATATCTTGAAAACCGGTGAATATTTTTCGATGAAATTTTGTAGATATTCGTTTTTGCTCTTTCTGAACCGAGCGACATCACTTTCATGCCAATTCATTAACTTTTTTGAAGGTGGGAGGGTCCCTTTAATGTACGCAGATTGTAGCCTATTCTTGTACAGCTCTGTTTCTGGTTAATTTAATGAAAGAAAGCAGCAACACACTAATTAAGGTCAAGCGTCATGCTCTGCGTTGGAAGATGATAGCCACCTACAGTGCACAATCCGCTATTTTATTGTGTTACAAAATTGCTCAAAGTTCACTTTAAAGTACATCATATCCATCCAGATCACCTAATTACGTGGATGCTGTATTTTATCTTAACTATAGACTAATTGTACTGGGGAAACTTGATTGGGCATGAAACCGAAGAACAGTCGCAATCATCAGCACACCTCTTTGCATGCATTGAGGTTGACTGATGACCACCTTTCCTTTCACAGCTGTATGGTGAGTGCGGCTGGAACCCGGTCACCCACAAGTGTGACTTTTTCGACACCCCTTCTTGGGCCCAGCCGCGCACTGTGTGGTTCCTCGTCACCTGGACGACACCCTGTGTCATCATCGTCATCAGCTACGTCCTCATCTTCGTCAAGGTCAAACAGTCCGGCAGGAACATCATTACGAGAGGGTGAGGGCAGCTGTAGGGGGATAGAGGTGTTTTGTGGAAACATCTGCGGGCTTCTGGAGCGCAATGTTCTCTGCGGGTGTGTGTATGATTCAAAATTAAATCAATCTGAATTACATGCAGGGGACGTGATATATGTTTACATGGTTGTAAACCTGGTGGCTAGCTCATAAAAGTCAAGACCATGCCAACACAATGCAAACTTAGTTGAAGATACATAAGCAAGTGTATCGTGGCTGTATGGTGATTTAGGGGTAGGATAGGAAAGGTAAAAGGTATGTCTTGTTCCGACGATTCTGACCTCTACCGTCCGGCCAAGCTAAATAAGATTGACCTAAAAGGCAGCCAGTGTCAATGACCAAATAAACTTCATGACCAAATGCATATCAAGCACCAAAGCCACTTCGTCTTGAAACAGCGTCATTCCACATGCCGATAGCTCTCGCGCGTCATAAAGATCAGCGCAAGATTACGTTTTAATACTCTCTTGTCTTTCATTTCAGAGACGGCATGACCTACGTTCTAGCTCACGTGAAGACGCGCGAGGATAAGACGTCCCGCATGATCTTCGTCGTGTTCCTGGCCTACTGCGTGTGTGTGCTGCCTATCACCGTGGTAAACATCGCCGACCCGCACGACAAACACACTAACCTCACCGTCATCTTCTACTGCGTCTACTGGCTCCAGTACTGCTGCAACAACGTCATCTACGTGCTCAGCAACCGGGTCTACCGGCAGGCGTACTGCATCTTCCTGACGGAGGTGTGCCCTCCTCTGCGCCGGCTGCTCGGACGGCCGACCCGCCGGCTGCCCCGCTCCAGCACAGTGACCACAATCAGCGGGGGGTCACTGATGGCCAACGGCCTCGACCGTCGCCTGCGACACACCGACTCGGTTGCCAGCCAGAGGATCGTCGGGGCCGATATTCTCATCAACGGCGGGCCCGCTTCCTCACCAAACAAGCCTCGGGCCGCCGCCGGCGACTCTCCGGGAATTGTGGTGGGCTGCGCGCGGCACCGACCGGCGCCCTCCGGGCCCAGGGGTCAGAGGCGGCTGGCCGGCCGCCGGCGCAGTCTGCCGCTGGAGAAGCCGACCGGTCCGCTGCCCGCCTGGTGGGCCCTCGACGACTCCACCTGGCTCTGGTACTACTGTGACACCATCGCTGCGACCGTATCCAGGAGACTGGCCTCGGCCAGCGAGCGGGCGCAGGGGAGCGTTCGGTGGACCGCACAGAGGAGAAGGGCGATGTCCATCTAACGTGCAATCTGCTACCATGTGTGCGAGCTGCAATTGGGAATAGAGGGAAGGGCGGGGATTGGGTGGAGTAATGCTTGCCTCATTCTGAACATAGATGTTGTGAAAGTGCATTATATACGTATATGGGTAATCCGCAGACATTGAGAAAGTCCAAAAACAAGCCGTGGAAAAATTCATGCCTAAACTTCACATCCACAATCTACAAAGTTATTGACCAAAATGGCGGAAATAATTGCATCTCCTTTTTGCCATTTTTGTCCGTGACAGCTTCACCGATACCAAATTTGTATATTGCATGCCTTTGAAATCAGTTGTATATGCCCATGTACTGCCTACTTGCTACCCTCTTATGTTTGGAACAAAATCATGTGCCTGAATGCGAAACCTCAAAATGAAGGGACCGCGAGGTACCTACTGGTCTATTATATTGCAGATAATTGCAACGAGGCATGTCGTACAAGGATCTAGTATCAGAAGCAACGCTGTAGTTGCAAAATCGTACGTTTTTCATAAAACTGACGAAAAATGTATAGTACGCCAAGTTTGTAGGCAATGAGGCATTTGCCATAGTTCTTAGACCAGGCCAGTCGGTTAGTAGGTATATAATTCGAAGTTATACAGAGAGATAACATCGCTCTGGCCAAGTCACTTTGCCCTGTTAATGGCAATGTGTTCACGGAAACAGTTACAAATGATTGTTTACTATTCAGTGTTGATCTGTGTAGGTGTAGTAAAGTGACGTCACAACAATGAAGCGTCATTGTTGTATGTATGTACCTCTGCAGTGTACAATACATTTGTTAGTTAAACAGGGATGGACAATGTGATGATGATTGAGTGCCAAACTTCTGCCATATTTGTGTGGCTTTTAACCATTCTAAGTGATATCTCATCCATGGTGCTACTATACTCTGTTCCGTTTCAAGTTTGCAGTCGAAGTGCCCTGCTGAAAGCAGTGCGTGATTTCTGTATATACAGCTCTTACATTTTAAGACGAAAATTATTGAGCGGAGGAGCGATCTGCCGAAGAAACTCCGACTGCAAACTTGATATGGAACAGACGCCGTTTTCACGACAGCCATCTGATACACTTTTGGTGCAGGTTAAGTGCAGATTTGGTCAAATTAGATTCATTGTGCTTCTTAGAGTTGGCAGCATGGGTTGCACAGACGATTAGGCATAGACCTCATTTTTCCAATCATAATAATAATAATTATTATTATTATTAATATCAATTAAAGATTATTTTCAATTAAGATACTTTAAAGAACCCATGATGTAAAGATATTTGTTGTAAAAGAGATTTGGTGCAGATTTGGTCAAATTAGGTGCATTCGCCAGATATCCCGTCGTGAAAACGGCTAACGTTACTTGAAAAAGTACAACGCGTAATGGAATGCATGTTCGTTATGTAAAAGTGGTATGTATTCTCGTCATACGTCAATAAAGGTTAAGCATCCTTACTGTTCTATTTATGAGTGCTTTTGTAACGTTTATATGACCAACAGTAGGATGTAAGTGATTTCTTTATTATTGATTTTTGCAGTCTCGATATGCAATTTAATTCCAACGTTGCTGTTTATCATAGAAGAACTAGTCACACAACAAAAATCATCATAGACAAGCCTAAATAACATAACAAGAATCTAATAATAAGAATGTAATAATAGGCAATAAGAATCTGGTTTATGCATTTTAGTTCAAACACGAAAATGAAGTAGAACTTTGGAAGCTAAAAATATGGATCAAGAATTTCGAAAGAGAGAGAGAGAGAGAGAGAGAGAGAGAGAGAGAGAGAGAGAGAGAGAGAGAGAGAGAGAGAGAGAGAGAGAGAGAGGGGGGGGGGAGGGAGAGGAGGGAGGGAGGGAGGGAGGGGGACGGAGGGGAGAGAGAGAGAGAGAGAGAGAGAGAGAGAGAGAGAGAGAGAGAGAGGGAGGGAGGGGGAGAGGGAGAGAGTCCCTCGCCTCTCCAGTCTTGCCATCCTGGTGCCACCGCCGGCGGCCGGCGGCAGCTGACGCTGTCAACACCGTTCCGGGAGTCTTTAGTAATGAGATTGCGCGCTGCAATCACTGGAGCCACCCGTGTGGACAGCCTCCCCCCATACACACGCACACGCAATAACCCCCCCCCCCCCAGCTCCGCGCATACACTGTGGAGGGGTCTGGCGCAACGAACAGGACTGTTTATCCAGAGCCGAGGTCGGCACTGTTATCATCCGAGGACACCGTGATAAATTTAAGGGAAGCGGATAGCTTTCCAGCTCGCTTGGTAGGCATCCTTTGACGTAAAGCAGTCATCAACATGTTTCGTTGGTGTCGGTTCGTATAATAAAAAGATAGAGATAGAAAATAACGTCATCACTGATCTGGTTACCATTTTACTGTTCTACAAAGTTGAAGCCTTTAGAGTTAAATATCAATGCATTATACATGAACACTGGATACCAACTGTGTAAAGCAATAACTCATTATTTTTTTAATGAGCATTTTATCATCGTTTATTCCAATTGGCTTCTCCAGGTGCTATCAATCGTAGCAAAGCTGCTTCACATTGATCAGAGTTCTGCGATATTTTCATGAATGGAGTGCGTGCGTCGTGCAATCAGCAACACTGCTATCCTAATCTGACATTTTCAAACATCCTGCTCTATTTCCAGCGCCGTGCTTTATTTCTGTAGGCCATATATCAGTCACCTGTCGCGACGCTACGAGGTAATCCGCCGGGCGCCGGGAACAGAGGGAATCTCCCGGCGTACCAGGAGCCACAGATGGTCCACTGCAGTCAAACACGGGACTTGTTCGGCTGAGCGGAGACTGAGCTGCGCTCTTATTTAGAATTCAGTGGCATCTTGCCACAGTATGGTAATGACTATCTATGCAGAAGTGTTTCGGAGGTGTGGCTCAGAGTGGGAAACCCCGTTCGTCACCGGAGCATGTCGTCACACCAGTGGACCCTGAACTACGAATATCGGACACATCTGTATACGAGACGCAGGTCGCACGCCTCGCGGCCCTGGCTGAATACACATGGAGTTTTTGCAGAACGTGGTGTGCCGCATGAGCATGGAATCAGGAATGAACCGCTTTTAGTCTAGCCAAGGATGTGTCACGTTCTTTGGTGCAATCTCGGTGCATCCATGCATGCGTAATGACGCATTTCCATGAGGATGGTCACTTGGCAGCCATGTAGCCTTTTAACCCTCGCCGGCCGAGGGGGGGGGGGCGGGTGCCGCCCCCCCCCCATAGGGGTTTTTCGCGATAGCTCCGAACACGCTGGCGATAGAGAGCTGAAACTTGGCATACCTGACCTTTGATCCAAGCCGGATCTTTTGGCACCAACCGCATTTTTGGGTCAGGTCAGGTCACTGACCTATGACGTCATAAGTGAACCTCTGCACGGTCTTCAGATGTCGCAACTTCGCAACGCCCTCACTGCCAGAGGAGATGTCACAGGGAAATGAAACTTGCAGGATCTAGTATCCATTATGAGTCCCACAACTTGTATATCTCAGATTTTTCCTAAAGGTCATATGAGGTCAGGTCATTTTCGTGACCTCACCATTATAAGTCAATGGGGAAAAATTCAAACTGCTATTCTGGCGCCGGGAACGATCTCCAACTATCTCAAGCACACAGAATCGTGATTTGATGCACTCCTTGCAAGGTTAGATGCGTCACTTTTGCAATGTTGACCTTGCGTGACGTCATTTATGACGTCATCAAGGTCAAATTAGTTTTTCGTCAATAACTCTTGATCAAATTGAGCTAGCGAGTCGGGAAAGGCACCAATGGACTCCGGAAGGCCTGCCGAATCGAATGATATGCGACATGACCTTTTTCGACCAGCTTCGTGACCTGGGGGTGCTGACCTGACCTTGACCTGAGGTCAACACCCCAAGTTGACCTGATCCGGACAAAAAGTATATCATTCGACGCGCCTGAGCGAGGGGAACACGATGCTGCCAAATTCGGCGCTCTGCGGCCGTTTTTTGCGAAGTTATTCACCAAAAACTGAACCGTACCCTGGGGCACTTGACCTGACCTCAGAGGTCACCGGTTGACCTAGGACCTTAAAATCGGGTACCAATCTCTGCGTCTCGTAACGGCGCACACGCTCGTTTTTTTCCGCGACGCGCTAGCTCCACCAGGGGCGAAACGGCGAGGGGGGGGGGGTCGTACCCGCCCCCCCCCCTTCGGCCGGCGCGTATGTAGAAAACCAATAGGTCCGGCGAGGGTTAACCCGCGCCCCACGGGGGGGGGGGCTATTCATAGCCCCCCTCCCGTTTTTCTGCAATAACTTCCAAACCGCTTGACGTATCGACGCCAAACTTTCAGTACCTTCGGCTGCATCAATTTAACACCTTGGGTCAAAATATGAACTTCGTAGCTGGGGCATTCCACGATAGCTCGTACCACTTTTTTCCAATTTGACACCCTCATCTCTCGGATTTTAACGATAATTGGTCTAAGGGGTAGTCAGGGGCTCTGAATCCTCCTGTAACAATTTCAGGCTTATCAGATGATTGGTTTTTGAGTTATAGCGTATAACATGTTTTGGATCTTGCGTTGCAGCCCCAAGTTTGGCGGGCTCTAACTCTAAGACGGATAATTCAAATGTCAAATGCTATACGGCATTGAACTTGCATTGAAACAAAGAATTATATGCATTTTTAAAATTTTGAAATATTTACTATTTTTGATATATAACACCTAGAGTTTCCTTTCATTTGCATTTTTATGCCTTTGGGACCAAATTTTTTTGAAATTTTATTTACTTAAAAACATTTTTGGATCATTTTTAAGTAGTATGCAAAAAATTAGGAAGGTGTTCTTTCTATAAATGTACTTATTTTGCGTCACCGTAATGGTCTCAAATTGTGATTTCGGAAGAGAGCCTACAAATGGTGTGGTAAAGCTGCCTAGTCACATCACTGGTTACTGAAAGTTCAACTGAAGTCATTTTTGCCTCACTTTTGCATTGTTGACCTTGCGTGACGTCATTCGTACGTCACTAGGGTCATAAGAGTTTTTCGTCAATAACTCTCGATCAAATTGAGCTAGAGAGACGGGAAAGGTAGCTACTACGCGGCGTGGAGTACGCTCGTGCGTAACTGGGCGGGGCAAAGGGTCACCGGTACAGGGGCGAAAATGGTTGCCCTCCCGCTCGCCGAGCGACCAACCACTAAATCACTCGAGAGCTGTACGTACACATTAACCTTGAGTTCGATATCTGGAAAATCATGGATAATTATCCGGCATCACCAACAATTATTTGGTATTGTAGGGACCATCGATGCAATGTCACATTTTTAGATTTGCTCTTGCTTCAGTATAATGGCTCTTTTATTCGTTGTCATGTCCGTTTTGCACGTTGTCACCCTAAAACACCGAATGAGCCCGGTAATCCCGGAAAATTATTCCTGATTATCAGGCAGTAGAGGCGGAACAACTTCAATTTAGGGGGGGGGGGGCATTGCCGACTTTTGGTCCCATTCTTTCCATGCAACGCCCATAGGGCTTATATTAAAATGCCCTAATCAAAGGGGGGCACGGTGCCCCGGTGCCCTCCCGCTCCCCGTTCTGCCGCCTTTGCTATCGATGCCGAATGCACGCTTTGGGTGCGTTAATTTCGGAGGCGGCTACTCTCAGCGTTGGTGTCTGAGCACTACTACTCTGATTCGCTGCCATGTCAGTAGATGTCACCAGGGTAGAGCGTTTTTTTTATTACCTACCTTCTCCCCCACCTTATTTTATGATTCTTACGATAACGATGTTTGTTCACTGCCCTAAGTGCCATAACCGCCAGAAGGGGAGGGGGGGGGGAGGGTCGTACGGCTGTCCGCGTTATGAAAAAGGCCCTGGCCTGGCGAGGGTTATTTTCTTATATATGTACAGGGTGCGCAAAAAAGTTCTGGCAGATTTCTGTGTTTCGACAAACGCATGTAATCGCAGCGAATATTATCAACACTAGCACCAAATACCCACTGGTTTGCAACATTAAAGGAACTGTCCCACCTTTGCATTAGTTCTGAGTTGAGATAGCCAAGTTGGCGGCCAGGTTCAGAAACCACTATATATCCTGGTCGCAATATCCTCAGTTTCGTGGTGTTAAAGAAATTCGTTCCCTTCATTTGAAAAGTGGGCCTTAGAGCAGGCCCTATCTCTTAACTATTAACGGCCATTTGATGACGTCATCAGCCGTTTCACGCTTTCAACCTGTTTTACGAATAAGTTGAAATCGGCGTATATTTATAAATATATTATATTAGTAAGTAAACATTAGTTAGTAAATATATTTGCTGCCAAATTTCCCCCCACATTGACATGAAGTAAATCCTTCATTACGTCACAGATCCGATCCAAATGACGTCACGAAGAAATATAAAAGTCGCAATATCTCAAAAAGTATACGATGAAAACGCGTAAAAACTTGCAGAATTCATCACAATATCCTGAGTAACATTTCCGAATCCTAAACGGGTCTTTTTTGAAAGTGGGATAGTCCCTTTAAACCGAATACTTTCATTTCCCTCATCATCTCATGCTCGACATAACCCTCCTCAGAGGCGATGACCTTCTGCAAACGGAGGCGGAAAGACTCGCATGTCTTGATGATGTTGGCGGGGTCCTTTGTCTCCCACGTCTTCACGATATGCGCCTTCAGGGCCTCCAGATTGGGATAAGACACTCCCTAGCCTGGTCTTGTGGACGCAATACGCTCTAGATGCTTTAGTTGACGGGGTTCAGGTCGGGTGACTGAGGGGATAATATCTCCTTAAAACGCCTGCACAGCCGTTATGTTGAGGCCCCTGTTCGTCATAGCCTCGGCGAGGAAGGCGTCTCGCCGCCCGAAGCCGGTGGGCGCCAGCACGTCGCCCTGCGCCAGATAGGCCGACATGTAGCCGTAGGTGCCGTGCGTCACCACAGTGTGGTTACACTGGGCCAGCAGCGCCATGTCGCGGCCGGCCGAGCCGTCACCGCTGGAGCCGGCGATCACAATGTCGGGCCCTCGCAGCCGCTGCTGCACCCAGGCCAGGTTGTCGCTGCAGACGACGAAGACGGGCCGTCGGTAGCGGCTCCGGCAGAGCTGCAGTGCCCGCATCAGGTAAGCCTCACCCACCAGCGTGCCGTCGTACATGAGATGCACCTGTTTGGCGTAGTCGGTGCGCCGCACGTGGACGCCGATGAACGTGCAGCCGGGCGGGCGGCGACACTGGACGTCCGTGTGAAGCCGGAGCCGGCGCTGCGCCTCGTCCCGGACCTCCGGCCGGAGACGCAGCTGCTCCAGCAGCTCCGTACGGTGCTGATCAAAGTGCTTCATGTCGCACGGGTTGTTGAGCAGCAGCAGGGGGCGATGTGGCGGTCCGCCGCCGGCCTTCACGTACTGGAAGTAAGACACCTGCCAGAATGCCGCGCTGCTCCAGGGGTGCAGGATCGGGTCGTACCACGGCACCTGATGCCGTTCCAGGCAGCGTGCGGGCAGCGTGGGCAACTGGAGGCCGGTGAATAGCGACCCGAGCGAACGCTCCATCTCGGGGAGGATCCAGGCGGGTCGGGCAGCTGCCGAGTCACGCTGTAGCGCCCACAGCGAGCAGTACTGGCACAGTTTGTTTCCCAGCCGACCACCGGCGTTGATGGTGACAAAACGACCCTGGGGACAGCCGGGCTCTGGCGGGCGGCTGTGGTCCGGCACTGTGGACGTCCACAAGACCAGGCAGACTCCCAACATGGTCAGGCAGACCACGGTGTAGCGAATATGTCGCCAAGTAGGCCACATGACAGCGGCACCATTTACGTTCTTAGCTGTCCTTTATGTCTTATCTAGCATACCTGGGGAAGACGAAACCAGACACTGCGAATGTAACACTGGCCACCACTCTTGTCACTGCTCACTACCCACTATCACTTTTCAGTCCCAGTCCCAGTTCAGTCCCAGCGCTGCGCGCGTGCGGAAGCGCGGGCGGCTCTCCTCACCCCACTCCCCGCACCTGAGTGACTGTGCAATTGAAAGTGAGCCAGCAGCGGCAGTGTGACGGAGTGATAGTGCCGATTGCAAGTGGACTTTGATACCGATACCACGACAAGATACTGCCTATCCGACCAGCTGTCGACGCTGTCAGATTCACCTTAACGCTCGCCCTGGCAGGGCATTTTTCATAACACGGCCTGGCAGGGGGGGGGGGGGTCGATGCGACCCCCCTCGCGATTGGCTCCTATGGCACCTAGAAACACCAAATTTGATAAGTAGGTGGGCCCCCTTGAGTTCTCGCCCCTGTGCAAATTTGGTTGCTCTAGGTCAATATTTAGGGTTTTTTGGGGTATAAATGTAAACATTTCGCCAAGAACAGGTCAAAAGGTTTTCGCTTATAACTTTTGATCTAATTAAGATAGAGCAAAAAGACAAGCACCAGTGAACTCAGCACGTCAAGGCGCGTCGAATGATGTACTTTTTAGCTTGCTTAAGTGTACTTAAAGTTTTTTTTTCTTAAATTTTAAGTAAACTTTAATTAATTAATTAGGTTTAAGTTAACCAAATTGCATCATAACGCATATCATTCGATTCGGCTGATCACCAGGAACACAATGATACCATTTTTAAGCTCTAGCGTCATTATGTGCCAAGTTATTGGCAAAAACGTCATTTGACCTCAGTTGACCTCATATGACCTGACCCATGGATAAGTACACCAAACAAAAAAGCACCAAGTGACCTGCTGCTAAGTACTGTGGTTTCAAAGCACAAAAGTGATAGAACAAAGCAGATATCTCCAGTATTTTCCGAATTTAGTATTTTCCCATAGACTTAACATTACGACGTAATGACCTCTAACTGACCTCAGGTCAGTGACCTCAAAAAAACGAACTATATGTTATACAACTCGGTGAACTTAGCACACCCTGAAACTTTGAAGGAAATCAATCCAAAACTGTGAGTTGGACAGGTGAAAAAAGAAAATTGAAATTTGACCATAACCTTGTACCGGTTTTTCTGACCTGGTGACCTGACCCATGGTCACTTGGACCTGAAATTTTCAGGGCATATGTAAAAAGGTTGCCCCATAGGCTGTGCCAAATTTGGCGGTGCTGCGCGCCGCCGTCTTTACGCTATCTTCGAAAAACCATAGGGGGGTCGCATCGACCCCCCTGCCAGGGCGAGGGTTAACCCGCGCCCCGTAGGGCTACCGGCGGACCCTACCACCCGTAGGGGGGGGGGCGTTTCGCCCCCCCCCCTAAGATCTCGGAAAGTTACCGGCCGATTTTCAAAATTCAAACGGCGTTCGATAGCCCCACCCGGGAACTACCTTGTGACCAAATTTCATTGACCTAGGTCAAACCGATGACGTCACAGGTCAGGTCAAAGGTCAGATTTTCACCGTTCACAGGCAATTCAAGAAATGTGCTGTGAAAGCGAGTAAATTGGTAATTTATTGAAAACCATCGATGGTACATTGTTCGTCAAACACATACTTTGCTATCTGAGGTCACTGATACCAGGTCAGGTCACAGCGAGGTCAGGTCACCGGGGGTCACAATATGAATGTGTCGTGTGATACATGTTTTATGGTCCATTTTACATGACAAATGCGATTATGTGGGTTAGGCAGCCTTTGGGGCCAGCCTAGGTCGCGTTTTTGTGAAGGTCAGGTCAAGGTCAGGTCAAATTAGGTCAAATTTCAAAGTTGATATTTTTGCATAAAATGGGTATTAATTCGATGCAGCTCGTCACGGGGAGTCTACTGGTGGTCTTCGTTTTGCTCTACGAGTTCTAGAATTGCCAAAAATTGAGTTTGAAAATTTGACGTCATCATTTTTGAACAGTTTTTTTCGCTATAACTTGGCCAAAAAACGAGGTATCGATCTGAAGTTTGGTATGTAGATAGAAGACGGTAGGCACTATCACATGTATTCCGGTTTTTTCGAAACTCAAAAAACTTTTTGGATTTTTTGGCGAATATATCCAAAAAATGCTTTTTTGATTTTTGGGGGTCAAAACTCAAAAATTTCAAAAATTCGAGATAGCAGTTTTGTAGCCCTGTCAATTCTACACCTTTTATGTCCTGATCATTTTTCTGTATCTTCAAAGCTGTAGTCCTGACAGGTCTTCTCGCGAAGGTCTTTTTTCGGTCGAAAATGACAGAACATGACGTCACTCTGACGTCATTTGTGGCCAACCTATCATAGCCTCTGGAAAAATTTTTGGTCACCATGTGTAAAATTGATGCCCGGAGGGGTCCTGAAAGTTTGGTGGCGATATCTTCAGCCGTTGAGGAGATATCGACCGAAAAGGACAGGGGGGGCCGTTTCGGCCCCCCCCCTACGGGGCGCGGGTTAACCCTCGCCCTGGCAGGGCATTTTTCATAACACGGCCTGGCAGGGGGGGGGGTTGATGCGACCCCCCTCGCGATTGGCTACTATGGCACCTAGAAACACCAAATTTGGTAGGTAGGTGGGCCCCCTGGAGTTCTCGCCCCTGTGCAAATTTGGTTGCTCTAGGTCAACATTTAGGGGGGTTTGGGGGGGTAAAAATTTCGCTTAAAACAGGTCAAAAGTTTTTCGCTTACAACTTTTGATCTAATTAAGATAGAGAAAAAGGAAAAGCACCAGTGAACTCAGCACGTCAAGGCGCTTCGAATGATATACTTTTTTCTTGCCTAAGTGTACGTAAAGTTTTTTCTTAATTTTTAAGTAAATTTGAATTAATTAATTAAGTTCATGTTAACCAAATTGCATCATATCGCATATCATTCGATTCGGCTGATCACCAGGAACACAATGATACCATTTTTAAGCTGTAGCGTCATTTGGTGCCAAGTTATTGGCAAAAACGTCATTTGACCTCAGTTGACCTCATTTGACCTGACCCATGGATAAGTACACCAAACAAAGAAGCACCAAGTGACCTGTTGTTAATTACTATGGTTTCAAAGCACAAAAGTGATGGAACAAAGCGTATATCTCCAGTATTTTCCGAATTTAGTATTTTTCCATAGGCTTAACACTACGACGTAATGACCTCTAACTGACCTCAGGTCAGTGACCTCAAAAAACTCGAACTATATGTTATACAACTCGGTGAACTTAGCACATCCTGAAAGTTTGAAGGAAATCAGTCCAAAACTGTGAGTTGGACAGGTGCAAAAAGAAAATTGAAATTTGACCATGACCTTGTACCGGTTTTTCTGACCTGGTGACCTGACCCAAGGTCACCCGGACTTAAAATTTTCAGGCCAGATGTAAACAGGTTGCCCCATAGGCTGTGCCAAATTTGGCGGCGCTGCGCGCCGCCGTTTTTACGATATCTTCGAAAAACCTTAGGGGGGTCGCATCGACCCCCCTACCAGGGCGAGGGTTAATCCGAGCTGTGATTAAGTACCCTTCCGTCCGTCTGCCATAAAGTCCGAAAATATTCGTGCAATAATCTACTTACACCTGTTATAGACGATTTTGAGGTTGGCTCACCCTGCTCCTCACCCATGCCGAGCACGCTGCCACCTGAGCGGAGACCATCACAAATCCCCTAGACACATCTCAAAACTTTCCTTCCCCATCCTGCTTTTTGGTTCCGGTCTGACTCTTTGTTTGCGCGCAGTTTGACGTTCAAGTTTAGTTTCTGCACTGGCCAGCAGATCTCTGTGTCACTGATGTCCGGGCTGGGTCAGGGCGGCGAGGGAGAGCGGTGACGGTCAGGGGGCAGCCTGGTCGGGGCATTGAGAGCGCGAGGGCTGTAGCTCGTTGCCATCGTAGCTAAGCGGGATCAGAGAGCGCGACGTGAACATGGCGAGGAGCACAGTGTGAACGGGTGAGTGTTGGCCGTTTCTCCGAGCGCAGCTGGAGTTCCAGCATATTGTTCGAGGGCGTAATTGTCGGTAAGAGTCGAACTGATATAATTTAAATTAATGATCAATGTTTCGCTCGTTTAGGATCAGTTTGCTCCACCGCATATAAGTTTGAGCCAGACCGATTTAACTATATAATTACAAGATATTTAGAAGCGATATTTTACCGAGATGTCTGTCTTCGGTGCCATTGTGCTAGCCGCATGTTGTGTTGTTTCGCACAGGGGCGGATCCAGGAATTTTCGGGAGGGGGGGGGGGGCGGCAAGTCGAAATAGGGGCGACCTGGCAATCCGGGGGCGCTCCATACAAAGGGGGCGCCAAACCGTCAAAATCGGGAGCTAAAAGCCCGCGCCGTGCTAGGGGGCGTTATCGCGCTCCCTCTCAGGTTTTTCGCAAATATCTGAAAGACGGCTGCGCGCAGCGCCGCCATTTTCAGCTTACCTTATCATGCATCTTTTTTGCACATGTTGTAAAAATGTCTGACGCGGGTGATGGAAGGTCAGGTCACCAGGTTATGCCAAGTGACCTAGCCTAGCCTAAGAAAAAGTTCAAATGCTTACCATTGCTATTTGCTATACCGACTGAACGATTGCTTTGAACCTTTCAGCGATTGATGAAAGCAACACTACTCATGAAATGTATATCTCGGAATTTCGATATATGTGACCTAAGGTCAGGTCAGTTGTGCGACGTCTCCATTAGGTAGGTAGGTATAATTAAGTCTTTGGGAGAAAACTGAAAGGCATCTCTTTTGGACGAGCGCCATTTTAGACAATATCAAGCATTGGGATACCTACATATAAAATTAACACACTGAATAAGAACATTGCACCTAGTGTGACCATTCATTATGTCCCAGAGGTCATCCCATGTCATGGAAGGTCCGCAGCAGTTTTTTTTTATAACTTTTGATAGATTCAAGCTAGAGCGATAAAAACACCTCAGCTGTGTTCAGCTCGACGATACGCATCGACTGCTATGCAGTATGACCTTTCCCGGTCAGATCATGACCTTGACCTGAGGTCAAATTCTCAAAATTACCTTTCATAAGGTCAACCTTTAGTTTGGTCGACGTGTCTCGACGACAGAAACGCAATGCTGGCAAACGTAATGTCGAGACTCTCTTGAGTCAAAAGTTAGTGCAGGAAAACATTGT